CTGCATCCTCTTCATTTTCATCGCTATTTGTGCCATTTGTGCCTCTGCTGGGAAAGGCCTGGGGCCTTAAGGTATGCTTCCCCGAAGAACGATCAGAGACGATCCTAGCTAGGCTCGGGAAAAGTGGTTGAGACCAATTAAGAGGGAGGAAGTCGAATCAGGGTGCGATATGTAGGAAGAGGTTTTGTGGGAGGGTGGGATTGTCGCGAACATTTTAACCTACTTGTGTAACCTACTGGTGGCTTTTGTCATCCTCTCATTTTTACGAGCTTTGCTCTGACTAGTCATCCCTCAGACGAAATGCAAATCGTAGCCTTTTACCTTCCAGCTGTGTTTCGTAGTAGCTTAAGTCACCGCTTTTTTTTTGAACCTGGCAATCCAACGTCGAGGAGTTGATTTGTAACGCGAAATCTCGAGCTGCTTTGGCAGTTTTTTGCTCCCAATGGAAACACCAAAAAGAAACGATTTCGCTATCAGTTTAACGCACCATATTTACTTCCAATGTTTACTTTTTTTTCAGGGTTGTTACACTTATGTGTACAATCGCTGCATCCTCTTCATTTTCATCGCTATTTGTGCCATTTGTGCCTCTGCTGGGAAAGGCCAGGGGCCTTAAGGTATGCTTCCCCGAAGAACGCATCGTTTTGTACTCCTTCTGACTAGTAAAGGACGCCATTCGTTACGGGTCCCACTGCCTCCTGCTACAGTGAACCCTTCAATGTGGAGCGGGGAATCCGTGAGCCAGGGGCAGTGTCGCCAGTCTAGGGGGGTGGGGGGTGAGGGCAGTCACTTGACATGCGTGAGAAGCTGGAATGTTCGAATTCAACCGCGATCGCATGGGATCCCCGCGGGTTAAGGCAGTGGGTCCCGCAACGAATGGCGCCCTATACTAGTCAGTAGGAGTACAAAATGATCACTCCTTCCCCGAATGCTTGCGGGGACGAAAGTCCCTTTAAATTTTTTGTTTTGAACGACACTGTTTCTTTATTTTCAATGCATGTTTACTTTAAGCTACACACATATATTAAATGTAGGCCCTTTATCAGGACAATCCCAGTTGGGACGACAGAGAAAATTTAAAGGGATTTTCGTCCCCCAACCCTTCGGGGAAGCATACCTTACGGCCCCAGAGCACAGACGATTGGAGGACAGCTTCTGCCTCGGTTTCAAATCCCAAGCGTGGAGGTGAGCCCTTTCAGGCTATGCCTTGGGGGGGGGGGAGGGATTTCAGAGTGGGTGAGCCAGCTGCATTGTGGCAAAGTTTGAACGTGTCATATCACAGTAATCATAAGCCGCTGTTTAAGCGAGAGAGCGCAGGTGGAGCATCGAATCGCGGCGGTTCAAAGGACTGAGTTTAAGTTGTGAGTAAACCCTCCTTTCTGGGGCCGTATTCAATCCTCCCCCAAGGGGTTGGGGACGAAAATCCCTCTGAATTTTCTCCGTCCTGTCAACTGGGACTGATAAAGGGCCTAAGTTTAATGTATGTATGTATGTCAAATAAACATGCATTGAAAATGAAGAAACTACACCGTTAAAATGAAATAAATTAAAATGATTTCCGTCCCTTAACCCCTGCGGGAGGATTGAATACCGCCCCTAATATATTTTTTCGCGCTTTTTTACACGTGACTCTTGAAAAGGCCCGCACCGCACTTTGATAAGCCGAGCGTAAGTTGGTGTTTCCTGTGTAAGCGGCGAGTGAAGTTAGTCTATGACATTCCAGGTATGTTGCTGCCCCCTTGGAGTCCGTTTCTGATCGTTTTCACAATTTGTTTCTGATCTACGCTTTTAGGGTGGCCAAGAACGCCCTTTAATTCCGAAGGTGGAAGCATCGTGTGGTTTTCAGTAAAGAGAGGTCCCTGATATTCATTCTCATTCGCCTAGAGAAAACGTTCAGAGAGAGACCGTCACCACCATGGGCGCCTATGCTCTGATTAAACACTGAAACGAATACATTCAAAATCATAAGAAAATATTTGTTGAATAAATGTATATAGTATTTCGTGTTGCTTCGGTATTGAGTTGAAATTAGTCAAAAAGAAATAGTTTGGTGTGAAGCATGTAGGGAACGAGGTTAATATTGCGCGCATGGTCGATTTTGGGGTCCCAGCGTGGATACCCGGGCCAAGGTGTACATAAGGGGTGCGCCGATGTGAGTCGACGTGAGTTGATGTTGGGGTCCCAGCGTGGATACCCGGGCCAAGGTGTATATAAGGGGTGCGCCGATGTGAGTTGTACGAGGAGACTCGTAGATCAGACCAGCTCGAGACTCAAGGTGTCCCTTAAGTGTTTGATCTGTGATGAGGTCAATGTATATTATGGCGTGTTGATTCGGTATTGTGTTGAAATGACTCAAGATGAAAAAGTCCCACTGGTGTGGTGAGGAGTGAGCATGTGGGAGCGGGGGTGATGTTGAGCGCATAGTCGGTTTGGGGTCCCCGCGTGGATACCCGGGCCAAGGTGTATGCAAGGGGCGCGTCGAAGAGAGTTGGTATCTTGCTCGTGAGTGCAGCAGTCGAGCGTCAAGCCGGCAATCCATCGTCACGCTGGTAGGGGTGGAGTGAAACGTATCTGTGGTCTTACCTACGAGGAGACTCGTGCGTTCTCAGGGTGTCCCCTGAGAATGAGATCCGTGATGCGGTCACCTACTGTGAGTACGCCAGGAAAGACCGTCACCGCCATGGACGTCGTCTATGCTCTGAAACGCCAAGGACGTACCCTGTACGGTTTCGGAGGATGAGAAGAAGCTCTCGTCACGAGACTCACTTGTAAAACTAACCCAACGGCCCTCTTTAGGGCCACAATTGAAACGTGAACGAATACAATCATACATTGAAGTATTTGCTTGAATAAATGTTTTCTACAGTCGTATTGGTTTGTGTGGATGAAGAGTGATGGATGTGCATGTCAGTTGGGGGATTCTGCTTTCGTCCCGAATGCAGAATTATGAACGATGTGAAGGTGAAGACTTTGAAGAAAGGAAATGTTTTGTTTATAGTCGCTTTATTACTCTAATGTGTGGCTTGCTAATCCAGTGCGTCCAGCGTACTCAAGCCCATAAACTCTCATATAAGCCAGTTGAGAGGCCCAATGCACAGAAAAGCATCAGAACCAGAGTCAGCCAGAGTAAGCTATCAGAAATCTGATCGTAATACATACTCAAAGCTTGTTATATTGTAGTAGTAGGCAGCTCAATCAATCAGATACTGATATAAATAGTAGGAGATTATACCTTGCTGCTCATCAGACCACAATGATGAGCTCAAAACGCTACAATGCTGCGTATGAAGGAGCCTCTCATTGATTCCTTTTTCATTCCTTTATACAGATATATTTGAATACAAATATACATCTACAATTTTTTGTTAGTTTCAAATCTCGTACACACTCTCTTATCACTGAGATGTTTCACATAGTGACCCGTTCTATAAAAAGTAATCTCTAATAATGTACATAGTATATACATAATCAACTATGGCTGATGCACGAGTTCTCTATTCTAACTCAACCCAGCTATTCGTCGGAGTTCTTGTCGATGCTGTTTGAACGAATCGTAGCCGTCCATCACTTCGAACGCTTCTTCGATGGTGATGCTCCTATTGCTACGCAACCTTTCCCACATCTGTTGGTTCGCTATTGGAAATTGTATGAGTCTTGCTTCACCGTAGGACTCCAGCAGTGACTTGTGATGTGCTTTGCCCACAGTTTGCTCAACCTGAAAACATCGAAAACTCGATCGATCATTTGGTTCAGTGTTGTATGTGAATGCTTACCACACGTTGACACAGGCGCCTTTTCCCATCATATACGACACAGTTTCCATAACGCTTCAGTTCAGTTGCCGGAATTATCCTCCCCCAACAACACTACGAGGATTGCTGCCGCCTGTCCTTTTCCGGAGAAATCGTGCTGTCGTTCATCACGTTTCAACACCAGCACAACTGGATTCTCCTTTTCGTATGCATCCTTGTACGCTATGCATAACAGTTGCAGTAGTGCATTAGCATTTGGCGGTATGTCAGCGTCGTTGAGTGATGTAGGGTAGTCATCCTGAATAAAATAGCTTTTCTTGCTCTCACAAAACCCTTCTACTGTGTGCTGAATGATGGCCCAGTAACATTTTACGCGTGTACCTCTGCATTGTTTAGGAACATCTGACGATTTTGCTGATACCCATCAAGTATGTTTGCGAACAAGGGTAACTCTTGGTTGTCGAGAGCAGGAATGAGGCCGACTATGCGAGTCTTCACGTTCAACGAAACCAACACATTACGTGTTGTAACGACATATTCGCAAATCATTGGGTTGCCTTCTTGGCCACAATTGTAGTCGTTGCGAATGAGAGTCATCGTCATCTGGTACAGCTGCTGTTCTCCGAGGGATCACTACATCTATGTTGAGATCCGTGGACGTTTCTAGAAATAAGGGCTCTACATGTATACACATATATTATACATATATATATATATATACATATACATACATATATATACATATATATATGCCTGTTATTGACTTCCGGTCTACTAGACAATGCAGTTGGTTCTGGCTTACCGAGTTCCGGTTGCATTTCGGACATAAGCATTCCATGTTCTTTCCACTGAATCCATAATATTTTCCATAGTTCCACGAAAGTTGTTCACCTCTCTGAATCCAATGCAAAAATGGACGAATATGCTGATTATGGTGAAGATTAAAGAAAAGTGCATACGTGATGACAATCTCACATTACCTTTATATTTCTCGCTGCTTGAAAGACTACCAAAAACTGTTTTTGCTGTCCCAGGTCCGTGGAATGACTTATGTCCATGGGCCTCGCAAAAAGATTCGCGTGAGTGCTGCTATGATTGAACAAACGACCCAATGTAACCGCTCCTTTATATATGGGATCGTGGGCAAGAATCGTGTATTTCCGTTCGATGGCGTTACCCTTCGTATCAGTGAGGTGAGCTAAATACCCTTGCATTTGTCGATTTCGACATAAATCTTTGTTGTCATGTTCAATCCGAGATCTTACCATTATACTCGACTTCGTAGCTAGCCACTTGGTCAGCATCAGCTGGATCCATTTTCTTCTTCATTTCAATTATGTCTTGCTCAGGAAGAAACGGGCCCCCTAAAACACGTTCGACAATGAAAGTGTTCAAATTTGCAATCGCTTTATCTGAGTACGTATTGAGAAATCACCTGCAATCGCTGACAATCTGATTTTTTAGGATTTCACACCTCGCGAACAATCCTTTTCCATTGATGATTGCTTCATCGCGCACTTGAAGCCAAGAAAAACCCTTAAATTGCCTAATAAATTCTGTTTTATGCGTACATGCATCACGGGATCAACTGACCTGTACTGGTTGTTCCGTACGCTGTAAATTTAACAACTGCTTCTCATATTCGCTCATGTAAAAACGCAAATCCGCCCCAACGCACGCTCTTCTATTATGCATTCGCATGTAGTCAAGCACTTTCGCGGGATCAGCAATCATCGGCAGTTCTTCTTCCACTTCGGGTTCAACCTGCTCTGGTTCTTGTTCCTGTTCATGTTCACCGGCTTCCACACCCGGTTGCTCTTCTGAACTTCTTCCAGTTCATGTTCACCGGCTTCCACACCCGGTTGCTCTTCTAGAACGTCTTCCAGTTCATGTTCACCGGCTTCCACACCCGGAAGGTCCTCTGGTTCATGCTCCATCTCTTGTTCACCGGCTACAAGAATCGCTTGCTCTTCTGGTTCTGGCTCCATTCCACGTTCACCGGCTGATGGATTAATTGGTCGCTCCTCTGGAGAATCGTATTCTTCTGAAGATGAACTGACAGGCTGGTACGATTCATACAAATCTTCACGATCGTCCAATTCATCGTCTGCTGCAGCATGTTCACGTCGTGGTGACAGTGCGGCTTGATTTCCATTTTCTACAGCTCGTGGTTCAACCACACTAAACCTGGCTTATGTATAGAAGCGGTGAGCTGCAGAAAAAATAAGGAATTTACTCACGCTCTCTCCGCATTCAACATTTGCTCCACTTGAGCCAACTGTGCAGTCATTTCTTCTTCGCTCTCCTCTTCTTGTGCATAGTCTCTCAAAACCAGATAACCAAAAACACTCCTGTTGCGTCCGCGGGCGATGTGCTGTCAAAGCGCGTGATTAATAATGAACGTTGAATGAAATGCATGACACATAACAGCCTGGCTATCACTCACATTGTAGTAAAGCCACGTTAAGTTTAGTAAATCTGTCCCTCAAGAGTAGCAGCCGTGCTCTGATGTCCTTCTCAAACTCTATGTGTCCCACGCTGTGCCTTGTCTAAACCAAAATCACAATAAGCAGTCATAAGGTCAACAATGTTGTTAAGGACTCACCGTGCTACTGTTTATTCCCAGCGTTCCACACCCTAACCTCCAGAACAAGTGCTTCATCATAGAACGCGAGTTTTCTTTCACTTGGCGCCCACTCCACTGTATGAAAAACCTCTTCATTGTTGTGTTGGCATCCGCTATACCCTTTTGGCGGCACACGCTAAATAAAGATTATAAATGACCGGGAAAAATGCGTCCACATACTCGAAACATATGTTCACGGAGTTTTCCATAGTAGCCGAGCCACTTCCCACATTTTTCATCAACGACAAAATAGCCACCGCCTCTGCCCATTGGGTCAGGCGCTACATTGTAGCGCTTCCGCCTAGGGTACTTTCCGACCTGAACGGATGATCCAGTATCTCTACACCAAACGACTCTTCAATGGGATAAATTGTGTTTTATTCACCCAGAAGTTTTCTGTGATACCAAGTGCAGGATTGGGCATAACGATTTCAAGTGCGGATATGTTGCTATAACGTGTTTTGAATGTAAGTTCATTTCGTGCACCATTACAGTGTAGCAGATGCACCATGACAGCACTAAAGAAAGCCCATTTTCTTCCAACGTTTAGGACACGATTGCTCAAGTACCTCACCTCATCACATAGTTGTAATCTGCGTGCTTTAACGATGAGCTATCTTCATCGAATCTTCTCATGATTTGTTTTATCCCATCCTCCATCCTTAGACAGTTTACTACTCTTTTCACCACACAGTATGGTACTGTATTCTAAACATTGGAACGTTTCGAACCGTGCAATTTTTGCCGTGTGTTTTGATGTGTTCTCTTACCTCCGGCCTTTCACTTTCATTGAGCCCTTGATATGTACTGTGGGATCTCATCTCACCCTTCAACCTTTCAACTTCAGCTTATGCAATTCTTATTGCAAAGTGAATCGCAGCATCCCGAGCATATCCGGCCACTGAAAGCTACAGGTTCCTCATGTAGCTCATTACTGCATTGTTTAAGGTGCAAACCTGCGCTCATATTCAGAATTATTCCTCAAGAATTTATAAAACGACAGCAGTGCTAATGCGAACTGCTTTCTCACACTCAACACCACACCCGCATCCTGTAATCAGGCGAAAGAACGCCGTAACAATCTCACAGGAATAGATAGCGTCGTCGATGGACACGGTTTCACCGAATCTGAACAGCGAATTTTGAACCTTTACTCCTTGATTGCGATGATCGCTCCTGTCACCTCTTTCTTGAGCACATTGCCACAAGCATGAAACGTTCAACATCACTCGCATATGAGCTCCGTGCTTGACTTATTTCCTGATAGAGTTGTCGTACATCATTGTCGTCTACTACCCGTACGGTCTGTAAGTCAACTATTGTTGCGGTTGGCCAACTCTCGAGAACGATTTGATGGAATAGGAAAGGATGTTTCCATTAGCCATGTAATGCATTCTCACAATGTTACTCGTAAGTTTGTTCCACAATGGCTAAGTGATTGATAACAGACTCGCTTACCAGCTACCAGTTAGCTCCAAATATAGATTAGGTATGAATTTCGGCAGCACTCATTTGGCGTATTCGGCGATCCGTGTGCGAGCAGTCTGGCGAGCCGCTCTAGCAGTGTTCTCACGCCGTTCCTGCATTTCCCTTTACCTGAACTTGTGAGTGATACGCAGCAAAGCTTTAGTGAAGTATCCAAGTAAATGAACAGGCTCTCGCACAGGTACACATCTGAAGAATCTATGATCCTTTTCGTTAACAATACACTGGGCTCAATAGTAAGTTTTATAAATCAATTTGAGGGTAGATACGATGATTATCAAAATAATCTTTC